GGGTAAATCCTTGGACAAGCACGAGATAAAAGGACACTGGGGTAAAGCGCATTCTTTCACGTTCAAATAAAGTAAAGGAATCATTTATTACAACAGTTTTATGGCGAGAAAACACAAACAACGGATCCAAATCTAGACGAGGCAACTTCAGTGCTAAGCCCTAGATGCAGATTATTTAAAAACGTTGGACCTAGTACACAGAGTACATACGAGAAAGAGTTTAACATTATTTTCAGCAAAGTGGGACCAATCTCCATTTACCACTTAGGTCGAATAGAAAATTATGAACTCAACCTTCCTATCTAAAACAAGTGACTTTCAACAGCAGTCTAAAACCCGGAGCGTGTGACTTCCATGTACCCGTGTCACGACCTTTTCACCGGACGAGCAATTTTGGCGCGCTTACGCACGAATTAAGAGTATCTTCTAAGTCCCACAAACCAGCCAGCCAAACCTACAGACCTGTAAAATATTTTGACCTTTTAATGACGTTTAGTTTTCCCTTTTCCAATCGTAAACTTCGAATGAGCTCATAAACGGAGGAAAGCTTTCATTTTCACGGGGGAAAACTACTCTGAAATTTATCTAAAAATAACTCGGTCTGTAAAACGTAAAACGCTGTGACATTAGCCTATTATGGGAGTTGCTCACTGCTAGCCTGAGTAGCAGGCGCTAGCAAATAAATGGGCGCAAAGAAAAAACGCGCGCGAGGGAGACACGCGTGTCTCCCTCGCGCGCGTTTTTTCTTTGCGCCCATTTATTTCCTAGCGCCTGCTACGCAGGTTATGGGCTCCTGGTTCAATCCTTGGCCACAGAATATTGGTGCTCAGTATTAGCACCAACGAAGAACACATGTGGAACAACTGTGCATTTACAACGTTGCATTCGGTACTGATCGTGAAAGCCGAAAACGCCATCAATATATTGAATTCGTGTTCCCTCTAACTCTCTCTGCCCCACGCGTGACGAACCCCTATTAACGTCTGCGTGGGAGGCTACCAGCTCTCATAATTTGTCACTTTAATGTGTCCTTTCCTAGAGCCTAATTAAAGGAGACCGCATTCAAAAAGAAACAGAGCAAGCGAAAAAGCTAACAATCACGCTGAGCGAACAACTTTCATCTGTAAGGCCAGTTAACATTTAAGATACTAGATAAAATCAGATACCTCTCTAAAATGGGCAGCTCATGTTGGCCCTTAGAGCGTGTAGCTTAGAGTGAGCTGCTTTAACACACGGTTGTTACAGAAGTCAGTTTTCAAATTAAATTGCCTGAATTTCCTCTGTCGTTAGAACAATTTCCCTCACAAACTAAAAAAAAAAAAGAATGACAAATATGGCAGCGGCCTCCCCACCTCCACACACAATTACCCCGTCTTTCCAACGAAACATAGCAGTGACCTGAAACGTTCCTCTAACCCTAATTAATCGGTGCTGTTAAATTCAAGATGTGCCCCGACTTGGAATAAAATTCCCTGACCTGTGACAGCCAGGTATTACATGCATGTTAGCAAGTTTTCCTGATTTCAAATGGTAATCCGTCGCAAAAGATTTAACTATCCATGTATAATGTTAATCAACCAAGTCCTTTACTTTCATACCGCTGATAACAGGGCAGTCACATTCCCTGGATACTTCTTGCTCTGGGGGCCGGACCCTGCTACACCTTGGTCTGTAGCTTAACAAGTTCAAATGTCTCATGAGCAAGTTTCTTGGAACAGAACAAGTCTTTCAAGCCCAACTAGATCAGATCGAACCAGCTTTACTGTGATCACTCAAATTGCAGACAGCAGAGCAGTCACATTCTCAGCATATTCCTTGCTTTGAGTGCCAGTCCCCGCTAGCTTGACAGGTTTGAGGGTTTCATGTGGTGGTATTAGTTCTTCAGGACAATACAAATCGTTTAAACTCAGCCAGATAAGATCAGGCTCTACTGACGCAAAGTTGTTGAAGGTGGTGATAGCCATCTACAACAAAAACACAAGAAGACAAAACATTGCTTTGGCTATAAAATACTAAAAATTATTATATTCTTTTAAAAGGCGTTAATTTCCCACTTCAGAAATTCTAAGGAGAATGGATACAAGCTTTCTAGCCTTCTGGGATTTCTTGTACCCAAACGATCCCAGATATCATTGCGTTAAAAACTTTCCCTTATAGTTTTTGGAAAGGAAAGTACGTTTGGTCTAAGTAGCCCCGTCGTCGTTGTCGCCTTTTTTCGTTGCACAAGCTTAGCACCTTGTTGGGCAGGAGGTTGTTATCATCTTACTTCAAGAGTCATTGGATTTATTAATTTTGTAACTATGATTTGACTTTTCCTTTTTGCCATGGGAGGAGACATCTTAAGAAACGTCCTTCACAACTTTCTTCCACACAGAAATCTTCATTTCATCAAATCTTAACAAATATTTCTAAAAACTCTCAAACTACACTCACTTGCTGAAGTTCTTTAGGCTGCCGACAGCTTAGGTACTGGCTACAAGTCCACACCACAGGACTGAGACTAGCATCGATGACCTCCAGCTGTCTGCAAAGGCGGCCTAAGCTCCTCAATACAGCCAACTGTAGCTTGAATGCTTGAGACTGCGAGTAGACTGGGCCGGCTTTAAGGCTCACTGAGGCCTGTTTATCCAGGAACTGGATCATGGGAGGAATGGCATCTTTAACGACTCGGCGCTGCATGAAGGTGCCGGATGCTTCAGCCATTGCGCTCAGCACATTCACAGCTTTGATGTTTACTACCTGTTAAAATGTAGGAATAATGTAATCATCTGTGAACAACGCACGATTGAGGATTTTTTAATCTTCTCTTTGGTTGGGAAAGAGAGATAGAGATGCGCACCAATAAGAAAGGAATTAACGTAGTTATAAATATATAATCTTGGTGACCCAGCAAACACTGGTGACCGAAACACTTAGGATCTTTTAAGAATCATTTTCAAGAGTTCATGTTTCAGAGCAAACTAGAATTTGGAAGTGTTTGGTGGTGCTTTGATATCAATATACCTAGCATAAGTGAAGCTCTTAACAACGCAATAAAATAGCCCTTATATTCATAATCAGCAACTCTAATTCATCACAGGTGAACAACCATTATGCAAAATTTTTCATTAGAACAATTAGGAGAACAAATAAGACATCCAGAAACACGTGGATGTGTTAAAGTATCCATTTGATTTCAAGATGGACACTCAATGTGATCCACGCTGTATAAATAGCTCCTTTCGCACACTAAGAATTCTCTTCGTTTTTGACTTATTTATACTTTTCATGGATCGAGAATTGCCTATATTTACAGGATTAAAGTATCGCAACTGATCATTTGTGGAATACTTCTCCAGTCCTGTCTTTTATAACCTTTGTAAAAGTGGCAGAATAAAAGATGCGAAGATGTTATTGTATCAGCAACATTACTATGACCTCAGTTTAATTATAGAAAGAAACAATGAACATAAAATGTATTGAGACCAAGGTGAGCAAAACTAGATTACCTGTTCATTGTCTGTAAATCTTTTGACCATTGGTGGCCATACACGATGAATCATGGGCAGAAGCTGATCTTCTGACTGTCTTAGAGCAAGGACACCAGCTTCTATTGTTTCCAGGACCAGCAGACGCAGCCATGGAGACTTTGATGACAAGAAGTGTACACATTTCTCCAGTACCTACACATGAAGGTATCATAGATTATAATATAGCGCAGCATATACTAGCATAAACCAAGAGTCATTTTCATCAGCCCAAAAAATTTTCAAGAAGCACAATTAATGATTTTTTTAGTTATTACTCATTAATTAATTCAACCATTACGAGTTATTTGATTACTTGCTTTATAAATTCATTGTAATAATAAGTGTAATAATTTCACATTGTCACTTGATCTTGAAATACGGCTTTACCGACCTACAGGTACAGGAATTTATTGAGAATTTAAACAATTTGTCTCACAGTATTTCTGTAATTCCAAAAACTTCACTTACCGATGACGCAATTGAAGTTAAGTACATAATTCACTAGCCCGATAGCAAAATCCACTAGCCCCAGGCTACTGGACATGACTTTCTCTGGACGCTGATCATAGAGAAAGAATTAGCTAATAACCTTTAGTGTTGTAGATGTTTTGTCTAGGTAAGGCTAGAAAGTGAAATTTGTAAGGAGTTTAAGGGTAATGCAGTGCATGTCGCCTCAAAATCCAAACTGCTAAATCCACTGGAAAGCTCTATTTTACAATAATTGTACAGAACACTACTGACATTAAAAACCTGTCCTTGCAACAAACTTGCTAGTCCAAAATCTATTCATAAAATCCATAACGAAAATAGTAACAAAAACCGGTTGTAGATTGCTAAAACACCTGGCTACGCCTCGTGTTTTATGCACCTTTATTTCTATAATTGGAACGAAAGATTTAAGTATGGAAAAAAAAACAGTGAAGCTCTGATAATGTTATTTGGAAAGTGTTCTCCATGCATACCTGTGTAATATATTTGACATGTGTTGGAATTTCAGGCTTCTTGTCTGGTGCAAATGAATCTTCCACTGCTCCCTCCCTCTCAGGTTCTGTTGTCACTGATTCGTCATCGTCACCATCCAGGTAACCCATTGAATGTTGCTTTCTTTTGTGATAATCCTCAAAAAACTGCCTTATTTCATCTGCCGAGAACACTTTTTCTTCTCCACCTGGTTGAGTTTGGTTTTCAAAGTGATTGAAACTTGTTTTGTTCTTGGAAAGAAGATACAAAAATTTAACGTGAAAATAAAATGGGAAGAACTTTCTGCAAGAAATAGTAGGAATGAACATATTTTACCTTGTGAATGTTTTCTGCAGGTGCTTTTAAATCTGTTGCAGGAAACCACTTTCCTATCATCTGAACCAACACATTCAGTACTTTCATCAACAAATACAACAGCTCATCAGGATAGAGATCAATCACAGAAAATACATCCATGAGTGTGTCTTCAATAATGGACAATATACCAGGATTACTGTATTGGATCATGACTCTTAAAACACAAGGTGCTTGGCTGTTCATGAACACATATTTGAAATCCAAAGAAATTG